GCTCTTGCCTTTTTCTTTTTACATTTTGATCGTGACGGACAAGAGGAGAGTTGACACAGCTGGAAGGTATGTGGGTCAGAGGGTGGGGGCAGGGGGGAGGAATTCAAAATTATTTGTAAGTAATTGTAATTTGTTTTATTATAAGTAAGTGTGTGTGTGTGTGTGTGTGTGTGTGTGTTTTACCCGCCTCTGCTGGTGCATGGGCTGGCACTTTTTTATTTTTTATTATTTCTACGCCTCGCCATGAACCTCACCACATGTCACTGGTTGTTGCATATTCAAATTGTAAACAAACAGACTGTTGTAAGTTGAGGACTACCTGTAGACAGAAAAGGCCATGCAGCACCCAACATTAAACACAGGATGAAAGGAGATAAAAAATTGGGTGGCTGCCAAATCAAACCCATTCTAGGCTGTTGCCATAGTTCATCTGATGCCAGGGAGAAGTCTATAAAAAGGTGTGGTTGCAATACTGAGGGATATAGATTAGGTATGGGAATAATAGAAAAAAGTTATTTATAAATGGAGTAGAAATTTTCTGGCCAGATGTCAGCCTTTTGAGGTAGTCTAGACAAGAAACCATGAACAATAACCTTACAAATTCATTGTAAAGTTGCCATAACAGAATCGTGGAAGTCTGAAAACTCTTTCTCTTAGGGAGTGCTAATGACCGAATGATTGCAAAGAAATATAATCTTTCAATTCCCCCCACCTTATCCTATCAGAATCTATCCTTCCATCTCTCCACCATCCAGTCTCAACTGTCAATACGTATCCTTCCATCTTCCCCTCTCCCCACCATCAGAACTGACTAATAAAGCTTCTTGGGTGAGAAATGAAACATTTTCTTCTTCTTCAAGGGAAAAAGAAACTCTGTCCAATTGTCTTTGGAAGGGGGGAAAAAAAGCACCTTTGTCCTGGATGACTGAGAACCTCCACAGACATTGTCCCCACTTTACTTTCTAGGGAATTAGGAATGATCCCAGGGGTGGGACTGCTATAGGTTTGCCCAGGTTCGGGAGAACCCGTAGCTAATGTTATGTCCAATTTGGAAAACCTCCAAATCTGTGGTGGGTTCCGGAATGCTGCGCACAGGGCCGGGCGTCCTAGACGGTGCACATGCACACACCACTGCCCTGCGACACCCAGCTGGCTGGCGGAGGTTGCGCAGGTACTGCATGCTGTGCGCACGTGCGCAATGGGCCGGTTGTGTTATTAAACAGGCATGGAACGCGGGCGGGTGAGTGGGCCAAACAAGCCACCGTACTGGAACCCACCACCACTGCTCCAAATCACACACCTGGCTGGCCCCTCCCCTCCCTCCCCTCCCCTCCCAGGAGTCTCCACATGGTCCGTTTTGGATACAAGGTAAGTGTGGAGACTTGGGGAGGGGTAAAATGGGTCCCCTGAAAGTTCTGGAAGGCCAGAAATGGGCCCATTTCTGGCCTCTGGAGGGTCTCTGGAGGAGGATGATTTCACCCTCCCAGAGGCTTGAGGAAAGCCTTCAGAGCCTGGGGAAGGCGAAAATGCCCCCCCCCTGCTGTGGTGCAGGAGGCCGACTAGGCCATGCCCACCATGGCCACGGCCACTCAGCAACTAGGCAGAGAACTGAAATTTTTGAAGCCCACCTCTGGAGGATCCCTTCTGAGACACTTTCCATGCCTCCATTACTTCTTTGGGGCTGAGATGTCTCTTATCTGACCGATTCATCCAGACAAATCCTGCTGAGCAATACAATGCTAGTTTTTTCTTCTTGCCTGGTTCCTTCTCTTGGAAGGACAGAATGGAGCAGGTTGCATTATGGTTTATGGTTTATGGTTTAATTTATTTGTATGCCGCCCTTTTCCCTGAAGGGACTCAGGGCGGCTCACAACTCAAAAAGGGAGGGGAGGGGGAAATACAAACAGAGTTACAAAAACATAGAAACCATACATAGTTAAAAGCACAACAATCATACCATTC